GCAGGACCCCTTTCCCAGGGCTGACACAGGCGCTTGGGGGTGGGAGGCAGCATCACCGGGGGGGCTGCTTAAACCCAGGTTTCTTGCAGCGAGATGCCATTTCTGAAGGGTTTGGGAGGGGGGAGGAATAGCTGTACGGACAAAACACCCAGCGAAGGCACCGCAGACCGGCACCCCCACCGCTGCCGCCCTCCTCGCTCCGCAGCTTCCCCGGAGCGGGGTGGATTACTGACGCAGTAGCGGCACGCAGCAGCATCGCGAGGCCTTTTGCTGGCGACAGCTCTCCTGTCGTGACGGCGTGTGTCCTGCATCCTTATATTTCGGGTGCCAGGAGCCCTAGAAAGAGCCGGAGGCAAGCAAGATCTCTCCGCTCATCCAGCCCTGCTCCTGCTCAAGGCAAGCCACCGTCAACAGAGCAGACGCTCAGCAGAAAGGCTGCAAGCGCAGGGGTATCCAAGCGTTTCATTCTTCAGACTAAATCCTCTCAGTTAATGCCTGGAACTTGCACTTTTTAATTACTCTCTCAGGGAAGCTTTAGTCATTAAAAAAAAAAAGAAGAAAGAAAGAAGGAAGGAAGGAAGGAAGGAAGGGAGGAAGGGAGGGAGGGAGGGGGAGAGAAAGGGAGAGAAAGGGAGAGAAAGGGAGAGAAAGGGAGAGAAAGGGAGAGAAAGGGAGAGAAAGGGAGAGAAAGGGAGAGAAAGGGAGAGAAAGGGAGAGAAAGGGAGAGAAAGGGAGAGAAAGGGAGAGAAAGGGAGAGAAAGGGAGAGAAAGGGAGAGAAAGGGAGAGAAAGGGAGAGAAAGGGAGAGAAAGGGAGAGAAAGGGAGAGAAAGGGAGAGAAAGGGAGAGAGAGAAAGAGAAAGAGAGAAAGAGAGAAAGAGAGAAAGAGAGAAAGAAAAAGAGAGAGAGAGAGAAAGAGAGAAAGAGAGAAAGAGAGAGAGAGAGAGAAAGAAAGAGAGAAAGAGAGAGGGAAAGAAAGATAGAGAGAAAGAGAGAGAGAAAAAGAAAGAAATCTCCTCTATGTTCACTTGCTCTAAAGCTCCCCAGGTACGTGGAGTGGCATTTTTCCTCACCAGGTCTTAAACTAGGAGCTTCTGCAAAGAATTACAGACTTCAGCTCGCGGTTCCCCACCTCCTCCCCCGGCACCCCACCGCAGCTCCCTCCGCTCGCAGCGAACCGAGTCGGCGCCGTCTCATCGTTCCCGGGCCCCTCACGTCCCCGCTGGGGCAGAGCTAACCACACTGGCCAGGTCTTCACCGAACCACAGAATGTTAGGGGTTGGAAGGGACCTCTGTGGGTCATCCAGGCTTGTTGTCAACGCCTTTGCAGGGCAAAACCAGTGTCTTTCAGGACACGCATGCACCCACGGTCACACCAGCACAGCCGGGGAAGAAAAGATGGGTTAGAAGTAACGGTGCTGCACGAGGCGATGCCCTCAAGCAAGCCGGAGGCAGAGTGCCATCACGTGCAAAGACACTGGAAAAGCCTGGATGATCCAGCCTTGCTCCAGAAAGCCATGTAGCTGGCACCGACCGGCACCCCCGGGAGACGGGCAGCAGGAAGGTGCCCTGCTGGGTTTGAGGACACCACAGGCCACGAACAAAGGAAGAACCACAGCTCATCGCACTCACAACCCACTGGAAAAGGGCTCAAGGCCGTTTGCCCCCTTTCTGCAAACGACAATTTTTCATTCAGAAAAAAGCCTGGCTCCTAAAACCGATGCTTTCTGCACGAGGCTCACAATTCTGGATGAAATAAAAAAAAAGAGGCGACGCTTGCTTGAAAACCCCTTGTACATTCTGCAGACGCCTTTGACATAAAATGCGTTTATCTTTAAGCACACAAAACAAAAGGAAGAAAAAAAAATACAAGCCCATCAATTTTTCAGCCTTCCAACGGAGATTTTCTGTTCTGCCCCAATTACGGGTGTTTTAGCAGCAAGGCAGCTCTCCTCCCTGTCCCGCTGCCTCCAGGCACAGCCTGCACACAGGCTCGGAAGCCCCCCTAGATGCTTTCAGCTGAAAGACACCAGCCAGGCAAACAAACACCCACA